AAGAGACAGGGACTCCCCCGGCCCGGGGCTGACCCCCGAGAGGGGCGGTGAGCGCTCCCCGGGGCGGGCAGCAGCTCTTTCCCTTCCTCAGACCCTTTTGATGCCGTAGACATTTGAAATAAAGGGGGAAAATTTAAGACTCGGTTGTCTCCGACCCGTATAGGTTCTGTAAGCAAGGTGTTGCATCTAACACACAAGTTCGTCATGCGCGTGATCTAACGCTTTTTGTTGTTATTTTGCGCCCACTCTGAAAAAAAAAAAATCTAGTCAAGTTATTTTTCTCTTTTGTTTTCATTTCTGCCTAGATTCCTGCATTATTGGTGACCACCCAAAAATACAAATCAAGAACTCTACTTTCTGTATGAGTGCCTATCCAAACTTGACTATGGTTAACTTCACCAGCGAGGGAAACAAAACTTTTGTCAGTGGAAGTGAAGAATACTTCAAGTAAGATCTTTATTTGCTTAGAGATGTTATGTTAATCTTCCCCTAAAATCCACCGTAACAGACAGTAAATAACTGTTTGAAAGGCTAGAAATACAATAGTTAAGGACAGCAAATGATACCCATTTTTTATGCATAGGAATGCTGAAAGCTAAATTTCAAACCCTGGCTGTGTTCTGCTCCTATGGTGCTTGGCACAGCAGGGGTGTTGGCCCATGCCTGGCATTTTTGTCTACTACTGCAATGCAGAGAAATAAAATAATACATGGGGAGAACCACTGGAACCTTCTAGAGAAACCGCTGAGAACACTGAAGCAAAACAAAGTACTGTAGGAATTTGCACTGAATTGCTGCCTGCAGTTGCTGTCATTAATTTTTTTCCTTTTTTTTTTTTTAAATTTTATTTTTTTAAATTTATTCCTAGGTACTTTGTATTGAAGATTTCAGCAGGGATTGAATATCCTGGTGAGATTAGATGGCCCTTGGCACTGTCTCTTTTCCTAGCTTGGGTGATTGTATATGCCTCCCTTGCTAAAGGAATCAAGTCATCGGGAAAAGTAAGAAAAATATTTGTGATTGTACACTTGCAGGAAAGCAGTGTGCTGCTTCAAGGGAATCATGCTCTTGTTTAAGGCAGTGAATTACTGACAACTATTTTCAGTAAATGGCTAAGTATTAATGAAATGGTTTTTTTTTCCTGTGTTTTTCTGTCTAACCAAAACACACAAAAAGATAATTTTATTTCTGCATTTGTTCCCTAACCTTCAATAGGTTTAAAGTGAGCCCTTGAGCTGTACTCAGCATTTGGATGGCAAAAAGGTGCCTTCGCTAGCCCTCCCTATTCTGTGTGGTGTTTGTTAAAATTCCACAATCATCTCACGTTTCACTGTGATCAGGGAAACGATGATGTAAATTAGGATGCCAAGTAACAGGTTTTAAAAGCAGACCCGAACTTAAATTGCTCTATGGCGAGTGTGAGCAGTGGCAGTGTGTATCATCTTTTTCCCAAATATTTCTTTGCCATCTTTCTAAAACTCCTCCTTGCGGTAAACTAGCTCCTTGCTGTTTCTCTGACATCTCACGTGTCACTCTCTCCCTTGCCCCTCAAATCTGCAGCTTGCTGCCATGCCCCCTAACTACCAACCGGGTCAAGAGGGAGCATGTCCTCTCGCTGGCATGGAAATAGAGGCATGTGAATTGGTCAGGCAGCTGTCTGAGCAGAGAAATGCAGCTTTTTCTTCAGCAGCAGCACAGGCTTGGGTGGGTTTTTATGTGAAACCCGCAGGAATGCAGTATCTGAGACTTCTCCATCAATGCCACTGCAATTGGTATGCAGGTTAAAATGTTAGATGATGACATGGCATAAATCTAGCTTATTTACAAAGAGTAGGCTGAAAAGATTAAAAAAAGCTGGAGCAAAATAACTAGGTATTTCCTGGGATAAAGATACTGGGTATGAAGAGCTAGCTGTGAATTTTCTAGAGGTGGGAAAAGGGTTTGTGATTCCAAGCTATCCCTTTGCAACTAGAAGTTGACAGCATCTGTTGTGAGGTAGTTGGGGAATTATCAGAAAGTCCAGAGACTGAGTGGGCCGGGGGAAAGTGGAGATAGTTGGTTTTTTTTGTGGTGTTTTTTTTTTTTTTTTTTCCCCTAGCTTAGTGTGGTAGGAAAAACTGTTACATGAAAGTCTGGAGCCAAGAAACAGAAGTTACAGAGAAGAATAAATTGGGTTTGGATGTGGCAATAGGTATTTATTTAAGTGAGTCTTCACAGCACAGAAAAATAGTCTCCTTGGTGTCAGGGACAGGAAACCTGTATTTATGCACAGATGAGTTCAGTATATCCACAGCACTTAAATTCACTTGGGCAACTGCTTGAAATTCCTCTTGAAACAGCAAGGAGAAAGTTGGGAACACAGTTTCAAAAGTCACTTCAGCTTGGATAGTCCTGGTCCTTGTAAGATTCAGAGGTTAAAGTGTAAAAGGATTTGAAATGCTTTTGGGTAGAGTGTGCAGCTTAACTGGTTATAATTTAGTCATTTTATTTGACCACAGAGAGTGCTCTGCTCTGTGCTAGATAATTATTAAGGCATTAAACCCACAACCCCTCTTGTGTATTTAGACATAATGATGATTAGGTCTGTCTGGCTTGTTCCACTGATATTTTTTTTTCCATTGGTATCATAAATATTTTCATGTTGATATGTAATTATCAAGAAGTAAAAACAGTAGTGAGAATTCTTTAGGCTAAGGAAAATACAGAGAGATAGCTAGAAAAAAATATCAGGACTTTAAGTGGTATTGAATGACATTGCTCATTTTGTTTCCATTCAGCTGTGTTAGTTTACTCTGGGCAAAGATCAAAAATTATGTTTTCATTTAGATGGGAATTCCTATTGTTCCTCTTCAGACTTTCTTTTCTGCCTTTTCTTCCCCTCTCTGTCTAGAACCCCAACTCTTATCTCTGTTGCTACTGATATTATTATTCCTGTTTCCAACATCAGGGGCAGCTGTAAAATTTCAGATTTCCTGGGAAATAACCCTGTTGTCTCTGAGCCTGAGTAACTGTTTTCTTCAGGCAGTAATGTAGCGCTTGCATTTCCCACCCTCTCTTCTTATATACCCAAGTAAGACCCTTCAATAATCTTTTTTTTTTTTGGTCTGTCCAGGTGGTGTACTTCACAGCTACGTTCCCCTATGTAGTTCTTATCATTCTTCTTATCAGAGGAGTAACTCTACCTGGAGCTGGAGCTGGAATCTGGTACTTCATCACACCAAAGTGGGAGAAGCTAATTGATGCTATGGTGGGCTTATTATTGCACTTACAACTCTGCTAGGCTGAATAAGTCATACAGATTTCTTCACGTCTGTTGCAAGTGGCAGTAATGTCATCTGTGGAAACTTGTTCTTCATTTTAAAATGTGGAGTCTTGCTGCAGTGGATCTTTGTTACTTGTGTGCACGTGTTTTTTTTTTTTTTACATATGTTATTATAGATACGTAATTTAATTCACGTTTAATAGTTCACGTGGATCTCTTGGAGCAGGTGCATTTGGAAAACAGGGCGTTAAAAAGGAAGTATGGATTTGCATGTGCTGTTGTCTGATGGATGCTGCTCCGGCTTGAACAAGCACACGAAGCTTTTCATAGATAGCATAATAAACCTACCTGCGTTTCTCGAGAAATGCTCAGAATAGGTGTATTTTACTCACTGAGCAAAGAAGATTGTAATGAATAACACATGTGAGACACTAAATTGAACAAAATCGAATTATACATCCTAATCTAACTCTCTGACACGGAGTGGCTGCGATCGTTATCCTAGCTGCGTTGTAAGGAACAAGGCTCCTTGCTGTGTAGGAGAGGGCAGAATTAAGGCACACAGTACCTGGCTTTGCTCTTTAAGCACTGACCGTGTAAGGTTGAGTTTCAGCTCCGCTGCCTCACTCATGACTTCGACTGCTTTCTTCAAAGTCATTTGCTGCCAATGAAGCCAGTCGAACATGTTCCAAAAAGACACATGGATTTGTGTTTGTGTCGATATAAATCCACCCATGGACCCTGTATTTGTCTGACATGGCACACGGGTGCCTCCGTGTCAGTCTTACAGGTGTCTTGAGGCAAGGGACTGAATTGGACCTTGAGCTGAGAGTTACAATTCAGACTCTTTTCTCTAGAAATTCAAGAGGGATTTTTAGCAACACCTCAGGAGACTGTTTGGTTTGTGGTGGGGCTTTTTTTTTCTCTAAGAAATTTTTTTATTCTATCAAAAGCAGTGTGGTATCACACTGATAGATTGATAATTAAAGATGAAAAACTGTTTCCTGGATTAACTGTACAGATCTTAATTTCCTTAATATCTCTGCAATAATGGCTATTTTGATTCTTTGGTGGTGGTGGGAGTATTAAATCTTTTGCAAACAATACAGGAATTAATTTTTGCATTAAATATGAGCGGGTTTGGATCCCACATTGTGCCATAAAGAAGGTGAGAACTGTTGCATTTTGCAAAATGGGGCTGTCTGAATACACTAAGAATCTGTATAACCTTGGGTAAGTGTCTGAGAATATTCAGGCGAGCTTCTATTTTTAATTTTGTTTGCAGTTCTAACATGAATTAAGAGCTGTATATTACACTCACCTAGAGGAAGGATTGACTGCTTGCTGGCTGGTAATTTTTCAAGTAGTGTTTAAGCACTATCTTCAAGCTGCTTAGTGTGTGTGTAGATCCACCTCTGTATCTGTGCACGTACATGTATCTCGATTTGTGCGCTGTGGATTTATGTGGAAAATCAGACTTTGTAGGAAAGCTTGTGAATAGATGTATCAATACTTCAAACACTTTGCAAGGGATAAGTAAGACCAACTCCTTTGAGATACCAGGAAATTTAGAAAGATTTTGTCTACATGCATTTAAGGTTTTGAAGGACTTTGTTACAGAAAAAAAAATGTTGTTTGGTGGTTCATGATGTTATTATTATTATTATTATTATTATTATTATTATTATTATTATTATTAATTATTTTATTATTGAAAGACTTGGCCAAGCATACTTTTTCTTCTGATGGGAGAAAACTGGGCCCTGGTGTCTAAATAGCTATGACTTGGACTGTGCTGGTTACACCTAGTGATGGAAATTTACCCTAATTTTAGTGTGATCTCATTCCTAAGCAGCACATCAAGTAACATCGAAGTTCTTGCTTTTATCGAGAAGATAAAAGCATTATTTAGGACCACTGGCAGATAAACTTGATGCAGATTTTTTGTTCTCTCGATTTGTATTTTCTTGGCTGAATGTGTTTGAACTGATAGGTATCAAATCGATGTGGTTTGAATATTTGTGCCTTCCATATACAGCAAAGGTTATATTGACATTTTATATGGGCTCAACAAGAACAGTACTTATTATCAAATGGGCACTATGTATTTTGGGGCAAGATATTGCTTGTTAATGTTCTATTGGCATCCATTGCTCTAAAGTTCATTTAAATTACTTATGTGTTAATCTAACAGTAACTCAGTGTTAATGATCTTCCTAATGCTCTTTTCTGAAGCTGATGCTATTTCCCCTCCTGTCTGTCTTAGGTTTGGAAGGATGCTGCCACTCAGATTTTCTTCTCCTTATCTGCAGCATGGGGAGGTCTAATTACTCTCTCTTCTTACAACAAATTCCATAATAATTGCTACAGGTATGTAAGACTGAAATCCATCAGTCTTATTAAACAGGTCCAAAACCATTTGTCTTCCACCTTGCAGAAATCTGTTTTGAAAGACTGTCCTTTTTTTTGTTGTTGTTTTTGGTTATTTTAAAATTTGTATCTTTGATTTTTTTCTTCTTTTTTTTTCTCTTTTACTTTTTTTTTTTTTTTAAATTGTTTTGTTTCTGTAATCTTCTTTGGGTTTGTGTATTGTATCTCTCCCCAGGTCCTAATGTGCTAGTCTCAAAATGAGCCTTAGGCTTATTACAGTCCCTATGGGCTCTTCATTTTTGCAATCAGCAGTTCTGGGTGGAAAGGCAATCTGGGAAGCTGTCAGCAGCTGTGAGCAGTGGTGTGAACCCCTGCCAGTTGGCAGCCTCTGCTGAAGAACAACCCATGTGTAGAATGAAATGAAGTTTGCCATTGTGAGACGTGCATGAGTTTAACACCTGATTTCTATATGTGACTCCCGTTTCTCCTAAATGTTATCTGTTTCCCCCCAATTACTTTTAGTGCAGTTTTACTTGTACAAAGTTATTTCAGGTTGTGAAATTTAAAATCACTTTTATTTGAAAGTACTGACTGTTATTTTTAGAAGGAAAAAAACCTCATTGCTCTGGTGGCATGGCATAGTTTTGCATCAAAGAGAGTGCCACATAAATGTCTGCAGATGGAAAAAACAAAGCCAAGGGGCATTAGTAGAAAGCCTCACTGCTATTTTACTGTCTTTAAAGCCAATCTTGTTTCTATCGAAGTGAACCTTTACTGATTCTGCAACGACAGAGGTGCAGATTCAGGACAGCCAACAGCGTGCACAAGCACTGTCCTAGGGGCACGCTTAAAATCTTTCCTGAACCGAGACTAAAGAACATGCTCCTTGGGATTTGAATTCCCATATCCTATAACTTCTAAGTACTATATACAAAATACTACCTTTAAAAAGAAACGTGGATCAAGATCTTAAAAAGGAATCTCAAAAACATTTCCTACTTGTGCTCAGAAGTAATCTAATATAATTATCCTAAAATACGGAGGAATAAATAAGTGTTGCATACTCAGTGACTCCCTCACAGTAACCCTTTGCACCTTATTTTTGAAAACGCTTGTCTTGGGCTTTGATTATTTCTTTGTTGATGAATGAAAATGTTCAGAATATCGGGCCAAAAAATGGCAGAAGCAACATGCTATCTTTCTGCATTAATTTAGCAATATTTTGTGGAGTTTGGAAAATGTTAACAAAAATTTTGAAAGAAATACGTGGTAATGAAGTATAAAAATCTTACAGGTCTAAAACTAAATACATGTTTTACCTATTTTAGAGGGGGCTATGGGAGACTGAAGCAGAAATAATTAGAAAGGCTTAGTTACTTCTAATCTTTTAAATTTTACAACACTTCTTGAATACTGAAATGAAGCATGACTCTTTTATCTTTCAGTTTTTATATTCATTTCATTCTAATACTGCAGATAAAATTGTAGTTTTCAGTTACATCTTAATTTTAAACATCATTAAGTAATCTATAATTGCAGTAAATTTACATAAATGCACTTCATAATGGATACCTAAAATATTTTACTTAAAACTTATCCGGGCTTTGGAAGAAGATTAACACATGATGATTCCTAACAAAATACTGTATTTTTTTTTTCTGTACACCTGAAGAATTAACATAATCATTCCTGATAAGAGGTGGTCTCTTAGAGATTCCAGAAGTTTGCCAGATCAGTGAGGTTCTGACAACTTCTCAGGTTGTATTTAATTCTGTTTCTAATGAATAGCAGTAGGAATAAGCAATTCTAGCCAACATAAAAATACCCAGCAAAACAACATTTGGAGTGACTTGTTTGTTCCTAAATTGTAATAGTTTTAGGGGAAGACTTCTGGATGCACATATTGTGAAGAAACAATAAAAATCCCATCAAGAAGGTAATAAATATGGATGGGGATCGTGAGGGCCAGTTTCATGTCAAGTCACCTGTACTTACCCAGTACAGTGTGACACTCAGGTATGGATCTCTTGAGATACTCTTAACAACGACAACAATGGAAAATTGTGCCAAGGAATTCTCTACAGATGGGCAGGCATTTAATGAGTGCTGCCAGGTGCAGAAAGCTTAACCCTGTGTGTAAATACAAGAAAGATACAGGACATAAATCATCTTACCTGGACGGTGGTGGTTAGTCCATACGTAACAGAGTGAGCAGATAACGACATCAGACAAAGAGTCAAACACTGTGTTACAGATCATTGCTGCCTTCTTCAGAGAGGCCAAGAGCAGAAGTGCTCATCCTCCTGCATGGTCTGTGGCTTCCTCTATGGCGTGTGGGTGATGGGCACTTGCACAGCTGATTGCTGGTGGTGGTGTGAAGGCTTCTGGTATCTCTGATCAGCCCCAAGCATCACCAATAACTGTAAAAGTGTACCTCCACCAGTGCTCCCACGGGATGTGTGTGCTTACGAGAGACTCCTGAAAGTACAAAGCCTTCCCTTGCACGTATTGTAACAGGTGACATGGCTTCTTGTTTTTTTTTTTCTTTTCAGGGACACACTGATAGTCACATGTACCAACAGTGCCACAAGTATATTTGCAGGCTTTGTGATCTTCTCAGTTATCGGCTTCATGGCAAATGAGCTCAAAGTGAATATTGAAGCTGTGGCAGACCAAGGTAGGGCATGCTGCCATTTCACTACTTAGGCGCCTGGTGGCACCTTTAGCTCTATTATTAATGATGACATTGACCTTGGAAGTGGGAATAATGACTTCAGACTGGAGGGGATTAGTAGACTGCTTGTAGGTGTTTTCGTACAAGAGAAAGTACGCTGGGAAGTCAAGATCTTACTTGCTGCCTCCTTAACACTTGTTTGGTAAGAGAAAGAAGCAAGGTGAGACTCATTTCAAATCTTGATGTAAATAACTGATGGGGGGGTAGGATGAGATGTCTCCCTCACATAGGCTAAGCGATCACCAGCCTTCTCATTTTTCTCTGCTGCTGCCTTGTCAGGTCCTCCAAAGTAGAAGTTGCCCCTGATGGTGGGAATATTGGATGAGAGGAGGATGGGCTTCATGATGTAGGGAGTGGAATAAAAAAGGTGACAGAGAAGTATTGAGCTTCTGAACTGTGGGGAGCAAGGAGCTGCCTCCATGAGGAAGTAAAAATTCCAAAGAACAGGTTAGAAGATCTTGGTTAGTGAAGTGAGATGGTTACAACTGGGGATCTGAAATTCCTAACTGTTTAAGCTGGATGTGACAAGAGTGTGACTATAATAACTCCTATATGTATTTATGATTCTCCCACCAGAGCTGTTTCTGTGAGCACACGGGCTGTTAAGTGTATTGTTTTAGCTTTCAGCACAGATAGAGTCATTTTGAAGCACCGAAGGGAAGTGATTAATAGCTTCTCCCTGAGCCATGGGGATAGTTCCCAATGTTATCCCTGCCAACCCACAATAACATGGAGCAAGAGGAGGGTCTGAATGGGAGAAGGACAGAAGAGTTCAAAAAGTGGATATCGCATACTCCCGGTTTCTATACACGATGTGTCTCACTGTCTGCATTAATGTGAAGACACTAACCGTTTTTTCTGATGGGTTTGTTGTGTTGGTTACATTCAACGCCACAAAGTGCTACAGGTAGCCTAAGAAACCTGACTGACTGAGCATCGTTGTAGCAGTTAGTTGATAACAGGGAACAGAAATTAAGACAACCTTCCCTAGTTTCTGTATATTCTTAGGTCATTCTGGATAAATTGGGTATGAAGGTTAATCTGCATTTAACAATGTTGTGGGAGCTAAATGGAAAACAGACTGCATGAGCTGGGGACACAGAAATCCTGTAGTTGTAGGAACAAGAAATGGTGAAGCAGATGAAACATTCTTTATTTTTTTTCTTGAAAAATACCTGTTCTTGAAACTCCAATGTTTCTAACAATTTATTAGAAACCAACTGCTACAGGTGAAAGGAGGAGAGGAATAAGATCTTGCTGCTGGTTAAGAAATAGAAAGTTTCCTTTTCCTTAGTCCTTCTCTCCAAACTGCAACATGGATAATCCCACAGAATTTTGGTTCTTCTGTTGTCAGAGACGCAAGTAAAGGTGCCGGGTCACATTCAGTTTCTGCAGCTCCTGTGGTTGGTACACGGCAGCCCAGACGTTGAGGTGAGGAGAAGCTTGTGAGCCACAGCTCAGACACAGGGCGTTAGTTAGTCTGGGACTTGCACCAGTTGACCCGTGCTGGGATGGGCTGCTAACCGGGCTGCAGGTTCAGCTGGTGGGTCTGAGAAGAGAATTTTATGGGACAGTCAGCTGGCAAACTCTTTCTTGATAGCAAATAGTAGGGGAAACTGAACCTGCAAGCTGATGTAATGTCAGTTCAGTGTCTTGTCTCTCCTTTTTGGTCTGCCAGTCAGCTAAGTGCAAACAAAAATGTTTTACTCTCATCCCATTTTCTGGCTGGATTAGACCACTGTGTTTGAAAAACTCCATGTGAAGCCAGGTGTTTTAGGAGTTTCTATTAGTCTTTTTATTTTAGACCTTTACGTCCATCCTAAAACAATAAACCCCCAACCCCAAAATCTGAACCACACTGCACTCACCTAAATTATTTGTAAGGAGTTAGAGTCAAAGAAGCTCTGCTTGAGTGAAGCTGCAGTGGCAGTTTTGAAGGGATGGATTTTTTTTTTTTTTTTTTTTTTTTTTTTTTTTTTTTCCTTCTTCCTTCCCACTTAGCATCTTCCTTTCAGGAAAAAATAATGTACCTGATGAACAAATAAAACACCTTTCATGGATGGAGAGACAAGACAATCTATTTTGATTTTATTTTCATTCTGCTTTCTCTGTTTGATTAAGTATATACTGCAGCTGAAAAAATTTTAGTACTTTAACATGAAAGTTCAAGGTCATTTGACTTTTTTTGTTTCAACACATATAAAACCTTCAGAGTTTTCCTGGCTTTAATAGCCCTTTAGGAAGAGTTCGTCTCCCCTGAAATCTCTGAAGATGGAGAGAGTGGGAACCAGTCTCCTTGTGACTGTTTACCTGTGCTTGGATGCTTCCTGGCACGTGGTGTCTTGGAGAGTTATGAGGAGCCGAGATGGAGAGATGTGCACTTCCATACTCTATAACTAAACCTTTCCTAAAAGTTTGATTAATGGGAGCTCCTTATTCTGAGACTTAATTAAACTTCTACAAGCAGGAAGCTAGTGCAAACAGAGCCTTTATCTCTAATAGGCAAGAAGATATCTTTAATCAAGAGATGAAAGAACCCGTTCATGCATACATAGTGGTTCTACATGCACCTTTCTATTCCAAAAGGCCATTTTTCTGCAGCACATTCTGAAGGCAGCAACAAGGCAGCAACTTTTTTTTTTTTTTTTTTTTTTTTACCACATTGTTAACTCTCATATTTGTCTTTTGTTCAGAAGGAACGGCAAATATTTCACAAGTTGCCCGTGGAGATTATTTCACATGCTGCTAAAACTTTTTTTTTTTTTTTTTTTCTCAATATGTGAGACAGCAACTGTTCTCTCTATTGAACAGAAACAGCACAGGGAGCTGTAGGAAATGGGATCCAAAAATTCAGATTAGAAATGGTCAGGACAGAGTGAGTTCGGAGCCCCTTCTTTTGCCATGAGTCATGGAATCGGCACAACTTGGCTCTCATTTGGATCTCCTGACAGGAAACATCCTTCGGAGCATTTAAGATGGTCACTCCTTTAGCTGGGATAAATAGAGAAGAAGTGCCACCTACTGTAATGCTACCACCACATTCCTGTAGCCTTTTCTCCCGGGCATATCTAAGCATATTTGTAAAAAATATTTTTCCTTTATGGACAGTAAAAGTTATAGCCCAGGATATCAAACCAACAAAGAAAGGAAAACTCCTGGTTAAGTCTTTAAAAGATCTTATCTCCTTATTTTTCTGCTGTGCATCATTCCAGAGTTTCTCATGGATTTTTTAGATTCAAGGTAGTTATTACCTTGTGACTGGAATAAGCTCTATGCATTTAACTGTGTACTGATGAGTTTAAAAAGAGTATTTTCTTTTCCTTTCATCCCTGTAGTATGAAGGGTGGATGATTGCTATGTTGATCATCCACGGATGAGGTGAGCTGAGCTGGAATGTGGTCAGAGAGCAGGAAAGAAACATAGCTGCAGTACACGATTTCTGTTTATCTTTTGCATTTGGATGAATATGTTAGTACACTGGTTAAATATGTATTCTGTAGCTTTGAAAGTAGGAGTGTAAGAGTGTTTTGAAACTTACAGCCAAAATATAATTAATCATGAGAGGCTAAATGGTTAAATCTGCAGTGGTTAAATCTTTCTGTAAACAGGAGAGACTGAATCAGAACTTCTTTACTTTTATCAAGCAAAATAATATTGTATTAGACTTTGAAACATGACTCTTCACAGCTCCCTCTTTTCTGTTCAGTCAACAATGTTAATGTGACACAGTATATCACAGTCTTTTTTCTCATTTCTAGGTCCTGGAATTGCTTTCGTGGTTTACCCAGAAGCCTTAACTAGGCTTCCCCTCTCTCCCTTCTGGGCTATAATATTCTTTTTAATGCTTCTGACACTTGGATTGGACACTATGGTAAATGGCTTTGTTTCCTATTCCTGTCCTCTTGCTTTTCCTGTTTATTTGTTTGGAAGACCATGAGATTACTTGTTATCTTCCATGTGGTCAGCGAACGCTTTCCAAAAAGAGGAATGACGTAAGGCCATCGATGCTGAACTCCTTTGGGTGAAGCTTTGGTGTTGATGTCTGAGTGTTTAACACCTAGAACTCAAAATAGTCTCTTACGTTCCGTTATATCCAGTTCGACCACTTTGTGTACATTGGCTGCACTGAAACGACTCCTTTTATTTTGTCTTTCAGTTTGCCACTATTGAGACTATAGTGACCTCTGTTTCGGATGAGTTCCCCAAATACTTACGTACGCACAAGGCACTGTTCACTCTTGGGTGCTGCATCTCCTTTTTCATCATGGGATTTCCTATGATCACTCAGGTAATAACATTATCTTTCAGCATCACTGTCTGTCCCCAGTCCCCCTCTGGTGGCCGTTCTCCTCCTGCACAATTTGCAAAAGATTAAGCCGAATTCTGCTTCATGTGCAAAATTATCGGGTGAGTCTGAAAGCCTTTTTTTTTTTTTTTTTTTTAAATGGTTGCTCTGAGTGAGATATATTTAAAAGACTTCGCTGTTCAAAATTTGCTTTGCTTTGCTTCTAAAATTTATCCCTAGCCAAACATCTCCAGAGTATTCATGTAAGTTATATATTCATTAAAAAATATTTAAAAGTTTTAATATCATATAAACATGTACACTAGTTTTGGGGGCCTTCCTTCGTGGATTAGATACATATTAATAGTCTTGGCAAACTGTGGAGTCAATAATGAAATTCTCATCTACCCTTGACAGTCTTCAGCATCTTTTGCCCACTAATTCCTCCAGCTGTATAAACTCTCAGCACTTTCAAGAGGAGGTGCACAAAATCTATTCTACTATTTTATACTATACATCTTTTTCCCCTCACCTCATCACCTACCAGCCCGGCTTTGCTGTTCCAAAGCCTAGGATGGATTTAGTCCTTCCTTCACTTGAACTACGACGCTTAACTTCTGCCCTGAAGCTGGGGCGTTATATCCTTTCCAAAGAGGTGAACTGGACTCACTATTACAGTATTCCTGGTTTCAGTGGTGATTTTGCTTTTGACGTAGTACTAAGTGTTTAGAGAGGCTGCTGGTGGAAAGTCTGGTCGCAATTCAGTCCTTCATCTGAAAGGACTGAGACCCATGTTGTCCCCAGCTGGGTTACCAGACTCAGGGGTACCCTCTGCTTTTTTTCTTGTTGGATTTGATAATTCGGTCAGCCAGAAGGAAGAAACTATAATGCAGCATGAGCTTGTGTCTGGTTGGTGTGGGGATGCTTATTTGGGCTAGAGAGTCTTAGCTCCTGGTCCTGTCTGTTTTGCCTACTTTAGGGTCAGTTAGACTTGTGACACATATGAAGAGAGGCCCCAGCTATATGCCACAAGTAATGGCTCTTTTATCTTTTTTTTTTTTTTTTTTTTAATAAAAAGCCTCAGAATTCCCTTATTTAGCATGGAAGAATAAAGAGACTTCATTACTATAGGATTCCTTTAAATACATGTATTCAAAAGACTTTCATATAATCTAATGTCCTTCTCCCATCAGTAGCTTAAACCAATGCTTACAGATGAGCATAAGAATAGACCAAGCACTCAGTGCTTCAGTGACACTTCTCCAGGGGGTCTTTCACACTCCATCAGTTTTACAGTTAGAGACTTCCTGAACTAGAAGTGGTATCTTTGCATTTAACAACTTTGGGAGGGTTTATTTTCCATGCACACATCCAGCCTTCCCTTTAGCCCATCTGTCTGTAACACGGAATCAAGACTATGCAGCTGCTCAGACTGATTAATTCTGTACAGGGGCATCACCAGTTATGTTGATCTATGTTGACTTATGTTAAATTATGAGGAAGATCCTCCGCTAGTATAAAGCAGTGCAATTGCCTTGATGCTACTGTAGCTACGTCAGTTGACACCAGCTGGTGATTTGCTCCCAAACTTGTCCGGTGCTTTCAGATTGATTCTTGGAAATGTGTGATCTCAGATGGTTGTGGTAGGAAATGTGAAGATCCCCCCACATAACACATGATTAATTTATGTTTGGAATGTTAAGACTTAAGGCTTGCATTCAAATGCAAAGGGAGAGCTGAATCTCAGTGTCAAAGATTACAAAGATAAGGCTGTTTCTGCTGTTGCCATGGACAGGAATTAATTATATATTTTGTATCAGATAGACACAAACCATCCCAGCATGTTCTGTTGAAGGTGTCTATATAGCAGCATGATTTTAGGCACTGGGCCTGTGCACTGTATCTGTGTTGTGGGCTCCACTCTGTAATATAAACGCATTAAAAAATTGTAATTCAAAACATACAGAATTTGTTGCTCTTGCTTGAGAAATTAATGGTATAGACAGGACAAGGAATCAGCCCTTCCTTATTTTTTCTCATTTAATGGAATTACAGAAGTGTACTTTATCTCCACTGACAGCCAATCCAGTGCGAGGGTCTGAGTGGTTTTAAGCTAAGTGACCGAGTGGGGAAACGTTACAGAATACAACAGAAAAAGTCAAAAGTCTGAAAGAAAAGTTGATTTAGACCGATTGTGTTTTGGTTGATGAAAACGCTTGTTGTTTTTTATGTGAGTATATTAATCAGAGTTGGTTTGGAAGTGTAATCTTTGTGAGTGAAATGATACTGGTAACCGCTAGCAGCTTTCCATTCAACCAGTCTTCTCAAAGGACTGGAGTGTAACGCTTCGAGATATCTCCTGAAGCGGAGAGATGGGTTGTGGGGATTAATTACCACAACTCCTTGTTTGAAAATCAATGCTGGCAGGGTGTGCCATGGCTCTGTGTTTCAGCTTTATGAAGACACGCAAGGTTTGCCCGTTCCCTCCCCCCAGTTACCACCAGGACTAACATTGACCCACACCAGGTCTAACATTGACCCGTCCCTGTGGAAACACCACCGGGTGTGTGTCACCTGAGGCGTTAACACCTGGTTGCTGAACTGAGCAATTTCCCGGCTTTCCTAAAACCGTTGCCATTCCGTAAGAGATGGTGAGTGGGAATGCTCAAGAAGAGTATAAGGGTTTGTTGTTTTCATTTCTTTCCCCTTCTTCCTCCTGATCTGTTTGCTGAGAGCACGCCTGACCAACGCTGTGCTAAAGCACTAGATGTTGTCACTCTTCCTGGCCAGCAGCATCTACAGCATCACCCCGTCTGTGTCCAAAGGACTGACCCCTTTAAAGCCATTGCCATCAGTGCACAACGTAAAAACTCTTTGCCTAGAATATTTTTAAATAGCCTCCAAGCTACTTAAATCAGAAGATTTTCTTTGTTCTGTATGTTTTTAAATAAGGATGAAGGGAAACAGGGAGCAAATACTGGCTCTGTTCCTTCTCTGAACACTGTGTGGCAGAAGCACTACAAAGCTGCCTTTATGGAAAAACATTTTATTAGGCTTGGAAGCAAAATTGCTCTGGCTAGTGCCTGATTTGCCCAAGAAATTCAGTATCCCTTAAAACAGTATCTTTTATATGAAAAACATCAAATAATACAGAAATAGCACCGCAAATAGAGGAGAAGTGTTTTTTTTGTTGTTGTTGTTGGTTTTTTTTTTTTTTTTGTGGGGTTGTTTTTTGTTTGTTTGGTTTTTTTTTAGTTTAATGTAATCAGACTTGGAAAAGATCTGCAGATTACAAATCATTCTTCCCATGCTTTCTGTACCAACTGATTGTTAATCAACAGATGTTAGTAAAGCCTTTGATAGAAACTGTTTCAAAGTTATTCCCCGGAATTAAAACTTTTACTAGACTAAAGAGCTTCTACTCTTTTACACAAAAAGTTTTACTTTGCAATCATTATCTGCTTGACTAATGTCCCATAGCTGCTTCTACTGCATTAAAGCTACTTTTCTAAGGCCCGTTCATGGGAACACAGCTTGTATATTTGTGTTTTGCATGTTGTAAATACAAGCAAAGCTGCTGCTCTTGTTATATTCCTTCAAGCAGTGCTTAAAATTGGCATAATATATTTTCAAGCTCTGACAACTGCTGTTTTACACTTCACTGACACCTTTCTCTGTGTACTTGTACTCTTCATAGGAAGCAGGTAGGCACAACCATGGCAGGTGCTTTTATGATGAAATAAATCTGTCTTTAGTTCTTGTTACATGTTCTGCTTGCTGAGCCTTGTTGAGATTTTTAAATTAAAAAGAGGCACACTTGGCTATTCCCTTGCAATCACTTATTTTCCAGTAGAGTCAGTGCTACATAATCCAGTCAAATGCTGTTTTTTATTTCACAGGCTGGTATAGTTGTTTATTCTCCAGTTGTTTAGATTATGATTGCATGATTGGTGAAGGATAGCTTAGGGCTGCAGGTATTAATTTAATCATCAGCATAATTCCCACCATTGCATTTTGTAACGTGAAGCTAAATACCAAGATCCTCGTGCTTGAGTGAAACACTGTTGGAAACTGAAAATGTGCGACCTTAACTTTGTTCGTGCTCCTTCTAGATCTGTTTTTGACAGTCTGTTGTTGTGAAGGTTCGTTGTCAGAGCGAGTGGGAACTGCTGCAGTGTATCTGTACAAAGCGTTAGTAATTTTGAACGTTTTACCTGGAGCAGAATATTGAAGTAGTTTTCTGTCTAGGTTTGTATTCTTCTTTTTAATGGATTTTATATCTGCAGCACTTATGAATACATCATCCTGCTTTAGAGAGTGGAAATTGAGATATGGAATATCGTGTATTATTTATTTCTCAAAGTTATTCAGCACTGATCTGAGAGGGAGATCAGGTATACTAAGATTTAATCATCATTCTGTTAACTAAAGCATCCTTCACATTTTCCTGGGGAACCTGACAAACCTATTTTCGGTCTTTCACTGGGAAAGAGAGGAGTGCTGTGCAATCCCTGTATCTGTTTACACTCATTTGACTCCTGAACTGCTAATATTTAAAAGTGCCTTAAACTGTGAGTATCTACTGACAACTCCAAGTAGGAACTAATTTTTTTTTATCTGGAGTTTCACATAAATCTATGCTGATCTGCATGAAGCTTGCATGAATTTTGGAGGCAGAAGTTCCTGGTAACTACCCTGTTAGGTATACCTGCTTTGCAGCAGTAAGTGTGGCTGAAGTAGATACACTTAAATGAGCTTTAAACTTTGTGGAAAGGCCCATACCTTATGCTGCTGCAACTAGTGTTAAACCAGTTTCGTTCCCACCACAGCAAGCTGCAGGGATGACCGCTGTGTGAGCATCTCCCACGTAGCTCGCTGCAGATGCTGCACTGAACTGTAAGAAGCAGATAAATAAAACACAGAGACAAATCATTCAGTTGCAGCAAAGATCTCCTTTCAGGTAACCCTGGGGGATCCAGGCATTCAAAACTCTATTACAAAATGGAGAAGCACACCATGAGTCTGACAGGTGCTGAAGTATGGTGATTCCAGAGGTTGTAAAAATTACATGTGTTTTACAGAGAAAAGAAGAGGCTTTCTGAAGAAAAGCATTTGCTGTAGACAGTGGAAAAGAGAAAAAAAGGGAGAGGAATTACACATACAATAAAAAAAGCACGATACCTGGGTCCCCTTGGGTTAGGTTTTTAAGCTTACATCCTCTGCAGGTTGTACGTTCCCCTTCCTCCCAAATAGAGTTTTTGCAATACCATCGTACTGTTTAATTTCTTTATTTTTCTTCTCTATTTCTTATCATAACACAGCTTTTTATCTTTTCTCTGACATGCTGTCTACCCGAACACTTCACTCCGTGCTCGCCCTCTGTGCCAGACCTTTAGGGCTGCCCGAGCACCCGCGAGCCTTGTTTTCTTGGAAGTGCATCAGAAGGGACTGAATATTGAGCTGTTGCTTTTTTACCTTCTTAGTTCTTGAAACAGTGAGATGGATATATTTATTTCTCCTTGATATCAACAAAAAGGCTTCAAAATTAAGTGGATCAAGCCTGGGGATTATCCTTTCTTATATTCAGCAGCTGCAGTGGCTGGCTACAAGGGCAATAAGAACATAAGGCAGTTAATTCCTTTTGTTCCAAGTATTTCTTCCCTTACTCAGTGACTTCTCTCCAATATTTAAGCTCCACCCCTGTCCCACATCCTAACAGTTAGACTAAATGCTGTAGAATAATGCTTTATAAAATTTAAATGACGGAGATGATCACCTGCGTTATTAGATAGAATTGTCCCAAACTGGAAATGTTCCTGTGATGGAGAAGCTCAGCCTTGGACCCCAGACGTTCCCTCTTCTTAACATTGTTAGAAAAGCTGGAAGACATTTCAGTTCTGTCTGGATTACCTTTGGATGAATTACTAATGGCTGTACTGAGCAGGGGCCGCTTACCCAAACAGCTCTGCAGAACAAGGCTGGGAAGCAGACCGGTGTTTATCTGATGGGTGGGAGCTGCGCGGCCAACACACCTTTCCCAGCCGCATGGCACGGCGGCTAAAACACCGTTTTCCAATCTTGTGTGTTTTTATTAACTCAAGTAACTTTATCGATGCAATCAATACAATAATCTGAAGAATTACCATGTCAGTCGATCTGTTTGTTCAAACAACGTTGAATATAATTTAAAATATTTGCAGGCGCTCTCTAATAATTCTAAGTATTGCTTACACATCAAATGAAAAATAACAGTTATCAGTTTTAATGCTGGGTGATACAGTTGTACCCCAGTCACGTAGTGGGCGTGGAGGAGCTCAGATGTTGATGCTGGAACAGGTATACAGATATTATTAAAAGGTTTATCTTCACAGTGAAATACCACAAGTATACACTCAATTGCAGCCAACCAGTACATACTGTTCCTGTTTTAACCTGAAACACACTGAACACTTAATGTCTATGTAAAAACTCAATTTTGCTTTAATCCTCAGGAAATAAGTATTTAATTAGGCTGGTTCCCACCGTAATAATCGCTTTTTTTTTAAACTGTGTGGTTAGATCCTCCATTGAGGTTTTCAACCAACAAGTCGGAGTTTGTTTCTGTATTTAGAATCAACGGAGGTCACAAAAGCTGTGTTGCAAATTGCAGCTGATTCCTTTCGCGCCTAATTGCATTTACGTTTGCTATTTACAGGATTGCAAAGGTTCTGCGAAGATATAGAAATGATGATTGGATTCCAGCCGAGTAAATTCTGGAGAGTCTGTTGGGCGTTTGTGACCCCAACTATTTTAACAGTAAGCAAAGCTATTTTGAATGTCTTCTCCAAAGAGTTGTTTCTTCATCGCTTGTGATGTTTCTGGATGGCAGGAATTAGATCTTGGATGCAGGCACCTAGACACTCGTGTGTGTATAGTAGCTGAGACAGGACAAACGGGCATTTTGGGTGGAGAGGCTCAGTGGGATGGTACGGCAGCTTTTCCCTGGCTGTGCAGAATGCTGGCACGGCACACAGCTGCACAGCAGCTTTTTTGATTATTGTATATATGTGTGTGTATGTAAAATATATGTATGTATTACACAGATGGAGAAGGGGAGGAAATTACATGGTCCTCCTGTCTGTTCTCAGGCTGAGCTAGGGAAAAGCATGTTACTGAGTCGTAAACTCATCGGAGACATATGCTTTGGAAAGGCTTCCGTGGAGATTTGAGTGGCAAAAGATTTAGCTTCAAAGATGAAGATATGTTTGCAAAAGTCGATATAATTATGTTCTCCCTAACAAATATAAACCCCTTCAGTATCTCTTAAAAAAAAAAAAAAAAAAAAAAAAAAAAA